AGTGCAGGGAGAAGAGAAAGCCCAGAGAAGAACTATTATCAAATGAGCTCAGACTCACTCTAGAATAGAGAGTGAATCAGAGAATTTTTGGCTGACGGATTAATCTTTTTTTCTTATAATGAATGTGTAACTCCAAGTTTACTTAATGATTAGTATGATTAATCATTCTTACCAATCAGCTCCGTCATCCCTCATCTGCCCTCATTAAAAAAGAAAAAGAAAGAAGAAAATGAAAGCCAGAAAACCTTCAAACAAACCCTCTGATGGCTTTGACGCCACACACAATCACATTGTTATTTAGCTCTTAACACCCAAACCTGCTGAACGGAACTAACCAACAGCGAGGGGGAATGAAATCCAGCTTACCTTCCATCAGGCGTCTTCAGTGAGAACCAGGAATGTGTATCGAGCTCTTCAAAGCACTTTGCCTTTATAGAGGAATCAAAAATAATAAGTAAATAGGCCTCCCAAACCCAAAACAATGGAATACCCTACCTACCTCTGAAACTCAGTCTTTCCAGAATACGTCTCAGGTTGGCAGATGGTTTGCCATCCCCGATGCCCAGCATTTGAAGGGGAATAGGTCGTGGCTGAGGCTGAGGGGACGCTCTGTGACAAGGCAGCCTCACTCACTTGCACTCCAAAAAAGCCCTCTGCGTTACAGGTCAACTACTCTTTGATTATAAAGGGTGTCCTATATGTGGAGGCCTCTCTACTTCGCAAAATGAAGCACATTTAGTCACCAAAAGATATTTAAGAACCTCTATTGACCAGATCACAAATAAACTAAAACATCCAAAGTAGTTGCATAATTAAGCAAATTAAATATTTTTATATTTTTCTAAGGAGGATGCATGGGGCAGCAAGACTGCATTAAGCGGTGAGCCTTTTAAGACTGTCACTTATCTTGCCTCTTGTCTTGTTGACAGGCTGTTGTCTGAACAATGAATCCGGGAACTCTAAAGTGAACAGCGCCCTGGGAGAAACATCTAGGGGAGTGGTCCCTCGGGCCGCCCGGGACTGGGCGGTAACTCTCCCGCTGTCCATCTCCCGGCCCTTTGCACCTGTGGTGCGGCCCCTACCACATGCGATGGCTTGGAGACGTCCTCCAGCCATCGGCTCCCATCATCTGCAACCAAGAACCACCGAAGTACTTACTCACTTCGGCAGAAAATTTTCCGAAGAAAAATTAATGGGCAGAGGAAATGAAGGGCATTAAGAAACAGACCCCGTCTCTGGAGTCTGATACCAAACCCCGGCCCGGTGGAGCCCGGGCCTCTGGCGGCTGAAAGCGCGCAAGCAAGCACAGCCCCAGCCCTGGTCCCCTACAAGATGCTTCTGTGAATGAATGGGTCCTTCTGCCCCCCGGAGGAGGGCACATTACATACATATTCCCTTCCTAAATCAGAACTCAGATTCCTCATAATCCACGCACCTCGACAGGGAAACGCAGGATTCCAGCGTTTCATCAGATCCGGGAAAAGGGGGAAGGTCGCTGGCGCAGTTACCCATAATCGGTTTTCTCGGGAACTCGGGAAAACACCACTGGGAAATACAAGTGTTCGGCGCCGGGTAAAACTTCCCCGGATTGGGAGCCACCCAAAAACGGCCAAAAAAAAACCCAACAACCGAAAGGGCGAAGCCGGCTGTCGGTGCGCGCGTGGCGCGTGGCCAGTGCCTGGGAAGGGGGACAGATGACCCTAGAAATTCAGATTAACGCAAAATAAACACAAGAATGACCCCCCACACACACCACGAAGGCAAAAATCAAACAAAATGCACCTAGAAACACGCTCTGCAAAGTGTAGAACTGTCTACACTAGCATGGAGAAATCAACCTTTGCAGCAGCGGACGCGAGGGGAGACCCTCCCAGCTGCCTGTGTCCAGGACAGAGGCAGCTCATCCTGGGGCCGAGGACACCGCGAGCCGGGCCCCTCGGGGCTCCTACTCTAGCCTGCGGAGTCACCCCGAGACTCGCGGAGCCGGGCTGCGGAGGCGCTCCGGACAGTGAGGACGCGCGCCGCCGGCTACGAAAGGGGTAGATTTGGGGTTGCTCCACAGCAAGGAGCCAGAGCCCCAGGAGCCGGGAGAGTCTGGGAGGCGACTCGGGAGGGATCGGAGCCTCCGGGACCAGAGGCTGCCCCAGGCAAGGAGTCGCGGCGCCCTCCACACAGGGCAATCCACCCCTAGAGCCCGGGACCCTGCAAGTCCCCGCTCCCGACTGCGCTGCCCCGGCTCGCCGGCCGCGTCGGGAGCCCCTCACCGACCTGCGGGTCAGGACGCGCGACCTCCGGGGCCGGGCTCCGGCGCTCGGCGAAGAGCGGCGCTCCAGTCTCGGCGATCCGCGCCCGCGAAGCCGTCCCCGGGAACGCAGGGCGCACGGCCGGCAGCGCGCGCAGCGGGAGTGGACCGGGGCTGCCGGCTCGGCCCAGCCCGCGCGTCGTCCCTCCGCCCCTCCCGGGCCGCGCAACCAATGGCCGCGGTCGGGCCCACTCCTCGCCGCCCCCCAGCCGCGGCTCTGGCGGGCGCTTGGCGCTGGGACAGCACCCGGCTCGCGCGAGGGAGGAGCTTGCGCCACCGTTGAAAAATCCCGGAGGCCGAGGAGGCGTTTGCGCAGGGGGCCCCATCTGGGGAAGGCAGGTGTGGTGGGTGAACTTTTGTGTGCGTGTGTACGGGACGCATTTTCTCTGGGGCCCGGGGCCTCTCTCTGCAGGCGAAAGCATCCGCTTCTTGCCAAGTTTCTTCTCTCTTACGTCTTTTATGAGTCCCAAGCAGCCCCCACCCCAAACAACGACCCCCGCTGCATCGTGGCAAGCCCAGCTCTGACTGAGCTGCGTGGGGACAGCGCCTCATCCCGTGACGAGCTTCGGCGCAGACAGCACTCATTCAGCGCTCCCCTGCTCCCCTCTGACTCCTATGCCAAATCCTCAAATGAGTCGAATAGGGTTGCAGTTCATGTCATTGCCAGGGAGATGGGCAAACACAAAGTCCATACTGAGTAACGAGCATAGACTGACATGCCGTAATAGAACTCCGGAGCTTTGAACTGATAGGACTAACTTCAGTTACCAATCACCTCTGTGACCTTCCCCGGAAGACGCTCCGTCTCTGTATTCCTGTCTTTCAACTGGAGAATTAGAGGCTTGGATCGCTTGATGTCTGAGGTCTCTTTCACTTTGACATTCAACAAACCTGTTGGCTCGGTGGCCTGCAAATGGCTGAGCCCCTGGGAAATGTCGGTCTGTCTGACTTTTCCTCGAGCCTCTACTCCACCTGGCTCTGTTGTCTGCACCGTGAGACCTGGCTACCTGCGGCCAGGAAAGCAAATCATGCATGGCGGTACAGAACCAGGCTGCCCGAGTCTCAGTGGCCACTGCCACTGGCACATACACTGCCACCCCCCCAGTGCCCAGCTCCTGGGGTCGTGTTACTTCTGTCCATGTTCAACTGTTCTCCAGGCAGAGACAGCCAGGGGCATCTGGCTTAATTCTGTGGCTCTTTGGTAAGTAAGTAAAGACTTTTCTCTCCCCCTTTCTTCTCCAGGGCAATTGTGGGTGGGTGTGAATCTTTTCTATGTGGATCCTTCTGTGCCTGATCTAAAATGCAGGAGGATGGAATGAGCTGCTTTGTCAAGAGGGCAGATTTGGAGAACTGCTTCTCTCCCAGCACCCTTACACTGGCGTCCTAAACTTCACCCATTCATGTGCCAGCTTGCCTGAGTTTTCTTACATCCACCTACTGCCTGCTCTGTTCTGTACTCGATGAATTTTACCTTAGCTTTTTACCTATTCTCATTGTAAGCAATATCCATGAAATCATTCGTTTGTGAGATACCAGTTATATTTCAATACGCGATGAAATAAAATTGTAAGTCCTCCATGCCACTTAAAAATCATGCCAAATATCACTGGTTGTTCTCACACCTCACTTTGGGAAACACTGAGGCATATGAGAAGATGGTTAGACCTGTTGACCTTCAAGACAGTGGTCCTCAAAACTGTGCATAAGATTCCAACCCTGTGGTCTAATTCGTTCACACTCCACAGGATTCTAATGCAGTTTGTCCATTGAGAACCCCTGCAGATGCCTTGCAAGTGTCAGAGAATGAAACGGAACTGTTTATTGCCTGGTAGGCATTTTATTCATGCTGGTATAGCAGTTTTCTTTTCCTTGTCTTACATTTGGTGACAAGGGAAGATAAGTTTTCTTTTCCTTGTCTTTCTTTGTTGTCTGTTCTGTAAGGTTTTTCTTGACATTTCTTGAACTATGTTGGTATCTAGTTTCCTAGGGCTACCATAACAAATTACCACAAACTGGGTGGCTTAAAACAAAGGAAATGTGTTTTCTCATAGTTCTGGAGGCCAGAATCAAAATGTCAGTTGGTTCCTTTGGAGGCTCTGAGAGAATCGTTTACAGTAGTCCCGCTTACCCTAGGGGATACGTTCTAAGACCCCCAGGGGCTGCTGAAACTGTCGATGGTAGCAAACCCAATCACCATCGATCGGAGCATGTTCCTGTGCATGTCTTCTGCCTATACATTTAAGCCCTTTTCCATCTTAACTAAGCACGTATGCACTGTGGTTCATCACTCTACTCAGAATGGTGCACGATTTAAAATTTATGAATTGTTTATTTCTGGAATTTTCTATTTAGTGTTTTTTGATTGAGGTCGACCAAAGATAACTGAAACCTCAGAAAGTGAAAGAAAGAAAAGTGAAACCACACACTGGGGGGACTACTGTCCATGCCTTTGTCCTGGCTGCCAGCAATCCTTGGTGGTTCTTGGCTTGTAGGTAGATGCATCACCCCAGTCTCTGCCTCTGTCTTCAAATGATCTCCTTGACGTGTTTCTTCTCCTCTTCTCTTCTAAGGACACTTTCATTGTATTTAGGGCCCACCAAATCCAGGATAATCTCATCTTGAGGTTCTTAAATTATTATAACTGCATATTACATATTACAATATGTGTTCTAGGTGGACATATATTTTGGGGAGGCACCATTCAACCCACTATAGTTAGTGATTGTCCAAACCCTAAGCTTTGGGGTTAGAGTGTTCTACCACTCCAGGATGACATCGGTAGACCCTGGTGATGTTAGGCTTTTGGGTAGTTGCCAAACTCAACAGAGCCACTTTGCCATTCTCGAAAAAAAAAAAAAAATGCCAGCCACTTAAATATGACTCAAGGAAAGCATGTAAATATGTTTTGGGAGTCTTACTTTATACACTCTGTAATTGTATCCAACTCTTCTTTCTCCTTATTCCTTTGGGTTAAGGAGCATTCGTGCTGTCGTCCTCTGTTTGATCTGGTACAAAACTCCTATCTTGCCTCCAAGAACAGTGAAGAATTCAGGTAGTTAGGCTGATATGGGATGTAATGCTCCTATTCTCTGTATTTCTTAAAATTTCACCTGCAAAATATCAAGAAAATTTTAATTATCAAAGTTACTCCCGTAAGATGTCTTCAAAGGCAGACCAGGTGCCACTCAAAGGGCTGGGAGTTTTCAGGCAGGGTTTGGAGACATAGCTTCTAGGCAGCACAATTATTACTCTCTTCCCCTTCAGTCTTACTTGGGGAGAAATGGGTTGTTAAACTAAGTGTGGAATTTGGAATCTGATGAAAAGTCATTAAATTCTGATGCCGCCATTTACTATCTGTGTGGCTTAAGCCAATCACGTAACCCCTCTGAGCCTCACTTTCCTTATCTTTAAAATGGAAATAATAGTGTCCACCTTATTAAATAATTGTTGGGAGTGTTAAATACACACACACTCACACACACTTACACATGCATGCACACAGTTCCTAGCAATTGTCCTGCACATAGTATGTGCTCAGAACGTTAGCTCCATATTTCCTCCCTTGCTGCTATCAAAGCAACATTCAGAATTACTTTGTCCCTTCACTAATTTTCTTCTAGGTTATCAGGAAACTTTTAAAATATTCTGATACTAATACTCCCTGAATTAACTAACTCTCCTCTTACTTTTCCTTTATTTTTTCATCTCTGCCTCCTTTTGATGATCTCTTTCCAAACTCTGTCTTCTCTCTCAGGCCTCAATCTCTCTTCTTTCAAGCCGTTCTCTCATTCCATTAACCACAATTTCAGAGATCTGTGCTCTATTAAAGGAACTCGGAGAAAATAACTCTGAGAAGAGAATAGGTCATAAAGTTTTTTATTAGGTTATTAAGTATGGAATATCTGATTTCCTTAAGTACTAAGTTTCATAGTTGATATCTCTGACATTTTGCTTTGACACTTCTTGCTTTATTTTTATTGTGAAGGTACATCCTCATTCTTTCAAATGCATGGTTTGGCTTGTGATTATCTTTCAAATTTTTTTTAGAGCAATTTTTGTGAAACCATGGATAAGTCAAAAATTCCAATTATTTTCGAATTTGAGTTCCTTTGTGAAACCAATTTTGAGCAGACAGCTCAAAATATCAACGAAGTGTTTGGGAAGGAAGTGGCTAATGAACACACAGTATGTTGATGGTTTGAGAATTTCCATTGTGGTGATTTTAATCTCAAAAATGAGCCACACGGGCGACCTGAGATCAAAGCGGATAATGATGAGCTGAAAGCTGCAGTGGAAGCGAATCCATCTCAATGTATGCATGAATTAGCAACAAGCTTTGACGTTACTGTTCCAACAATACTGGACCATTTGAAACAAATGGGCAAGGTAAAGAATCTGGATAGATGGGCACTGCATGAATTAAATGAGCGTCAGAAGATAAATCGTCTCGAAGCTTGCCTTTCTTTTTGCTGTCATGACACAAAGGTGAACCATTTCTATACCAAATTGTTACATGTGATGAAAAATGGATTCTTTATGACAATCGCAAGCATTCGGCATAATGGTTGGATCAAGATGAACTGCAGAAACACAGTCCAAAATTGAATATTCTTCAAAAAAAGCTAATGGTGTCTGTTTGGTGGTCTAGTTCTGGTATTATCCACTATAGCTTCATGAAACCTGATCAATCCATTACAGCGGATGTCTACTGCAACCAATTGTATGAAATGATGAGGACACTTGTGATTAAGCAGTCAAGATTGGTCAATAGAGGCAGGCCAATCCTTTTGCAAGACAAAGCTCAACCACATGTCGCACAAACAACACTGCTCCGACTACAGAGGCTAGATTTGGAAACTCTCTGTCATCCACTGTATTCACCAGACCTTGCACCAACTGACTACCACTTGTTCCAGGCTTTGGACCACTTCTTGCAAGGAAAAATACTCAATTCTCAACAAGCTGTGGAAAATGCCCTTTGAGATTTCATCACCACTCGTTCTCCAGGCTTCTTCGCTGCTGGCATAAACCAGCTACCATTAAGACGGCAAAACTGTGTCAATAGTTTAGGCACATACT